AAAACAAAACAAACAAAAAAAAAATGGTCTCCATTTCTCTGCCTTGCAAAGCCTTGTGCATGGACAGCCCTTGTGCCATGGTCCCAGGGAGTACACCATGCAGTACCCAGGGGGGTCTCTGAGAAGCAGCAGATACCAGGGCTGAGCAAGCAGGAAGTTTCCTATGTGGAGAAGTGGTGATCCAGAGAGGAGTCATAGCTTTCCCAGAGCCACAACTCTGTTCTGAGAGTCAGAATCAGAAGCACACTCCCCCAGTCAGGGTTGGCTGACTGTGGCTTCTCTAGCAGTTTCCCACAGATCAGACTGGCAGCAATGACCTTAGGGAGCAGAGAAGGCAGGGAACCAAGATGGTTTGACTTCCTCAGGGGTGAGTGGTCTGACAAGGATGAAACACTCAGATCTAGAGCAGAAACGGCCCCCAGGAGACAAGAAGGGAGGGAAATGGGGTAGGAAGGGGGGAGGCAGAGAGGGCAAGAGTGAGGACGGGAGAGAGGGGTGGAGGGGGATGAGACCTGAAGGAGCACGGCCTCTGCAGGCACTACGCTCATCTTGGACGTTCTGCCACACGGTCCTCACAACAGTCCCTTGAACCAGATGCTACCATTGCGCCCTCTCATCTGGGCTCAGAGACAGCGCAGAGGTGCACCAGAGTGGGACAGCATCTCACATGATTTCATCCAGGCCCTGAGACTGAGGAATATCTGTACTATGAGCCTACCCAGAAGACACCAAGAGCTGGAAGGAGGAAAACATGGAGGTGGCTGGCTAGAACCAGAAACTGCAGTTCAGGCTGTTCTGCAATTCTGGTAGAGTGTAGCCCACACGTAGGGCCAGACCATTAATGGGTCAGGAAGGCAGGCTGGCCCAGAAGGACAAAGTTGGGATAAGTGCCACCAGGCAAAGATAACAATGTTTTGGGCAAAGAAAGCAATGCTCAATGTCCATTGAAAAGGTTGCAACACGCAACTGAAATCCAAAGACGCCAACACCAGAGGCACACAGGACTCAGCCAGCCACAGAGGTGGGGGTGGGGGTGGCAGAGGAAGGAACGTGAAGACAAGCTAAGACCGGCTTGCAGAGGAGTCATTTCTGGAGGCCAGGAGCTGAAGGGACACTTTTAGAACTGGACAGATTCCCAACATGCCTGCAACTCCCTCCCATCCACTCAGTCCAGCCGGGAGGGAGAGGGGGACGGGGTGGAGACTGAGATGCCCAAAGTCACAAGTCCCTCTGCATTCGCCCTCATGCCACTTCAGCAGGCCACCACTGTCACCCACATAGAGACAGAAGACTCAACTCCAGAGATCTGCAGAGAAGACGGACCAGAAGCTAACTACCTAGTTAGCTCTCTGCAGAACCACTTAGGAAACACAACATTTTCCTGTTCCTATCTGAATTCCAAACTTTCTCATAGCTCATGGGAACAATTAGAGCTGTTTTATAAGGTGCTGTGACAATTGCTTGACATATTTATATAAGATTCCTAGTGTGATGCCGTCCATGCATTCCTTGGGGGGGGCAGCTTGGTTGCACCCAACATGGGGCTGAAAAGAGGACTCTGAACACTCAGTGTGTGTGTTCATGTGTGCACGTGTGCGTGAATGTACGTGAATGTACGTGCATGTGTGCCTGCATATGTATGTGTGCATGTATGTGTGCGTGTGTGTGAGTGTGCATACATGTGTATGTGTGTGCGTGTGCATGTATGTGTGCCACATCAATGTGTTCAAAAACTCTTAAGATATGTGTGTGTGTGTGTGTGTGTGTGTGTGTGTGTGTGTGTGTGTGACTACCTGTGTGTGGCTTAATCATTGAAAACCACGAGTTTTAAGAAGGAAGAGAAGGGAGGAGGAGAAAAGAGAAACAAGGCAGAGTGTAGGAAGCACAGGAGAGATGACATCGTTGTCATCCAGCTCATTCCCAAGGCATAGAAGCAAGGAGGGACCCAGCAGACAACTGTGCCCCACACTGGCCCATGGAAGAGAGAGTGAGACAGCGTGCTTGCCCAAGGTCATACTGCAGTCAGCAGGAGAAATGGACTCTACACCACCCACAAGGTGTCCCATAATCTACTCTCCAAAAAGCTTCCTGCATTTATTTCTCCTTTAGAAAAAGGGAAATGAGCCAATGCTTCTTAGCTTTCACAGCAGAAAATAGCTAGTATTTATCCATTCCCAGGATTGCAACAGTCTAGACTTCTCTTTTGCAAGCACCCCCACTTTGCTCTAGGGAGGCTGCTTATGAGCAAAAAAGAAGGCCAGTTCCTGGGGGTGGGGGCAGCTGAAAGAGGGAGAGGGCAGGCCAGGGAGAAGCCAAATGTCCAGGCCAAGTGGAAGAGAGGCTCTTCTCACAGTCTGGGTGGGACGATATCTTCCACCATGGGGTCCTGATCTCTCCGTGCTCCACCTTCTAAAGCAAGTCAGTCCCAAGAAGACGGCAAAAGTCTTCCTGAAAATCAGTCCTGGGCTTTAGTGGCACATGATTTGGGGAGTCTGTGGGTGGGCATCTGAAGTCTCCTTACTGCCTAGAAAGCTTACCCCAACCCTGTTGCCTGACCTACAGGGAGTAGCCTGTTACCCAACCTGGTCAAGCAAGCTTCCTATATCCAAGTGGGTGACATGCAAATGGCACATCCATCTTCACTCAGCATCGCCAAAGTCCCTACTCATTACTTTCTATGATTAAAAATAGCCACAAGAATGCCAGAGCTGAGAGGACAATGAGGCAAGAGCATTTCAAATACCCTCCTTCAGGTCCTGAGGTCAGAGCAGCCTGGGAGGGTATAGCCACAAAAACCCTTGCTCCTTCATCGGGGTCAAAGGCAATTGTCCATTTCCCTCCCTGTTTCTCTTTTCCCATAAAGGCTGCAGACACTCCTGGCAAGCCTTTCCCTGACATTCTCTTGTACATGCCCATTTTGAAGGAAGCAAAGCGGCAAACAACCTCAGCTTCTCAGGAGGCTGAGACCAGAGCATTGCACGTTCAAGGCCAGTCTGGGCAACTTAGGAAGACTCAGCCTTGATATAAAGAGTAAAAGTAAAGCTAGGTGGTAGTGCACACCTTTAATCCCAGCACTTGGGAGGCAGAAGCAGGTGATCTCAGTGGGTTTGAGGCCATCCTGGTCTATATAGTGAGTTCCAGGACAGCCAGAGTTGCAGAGTGAGACCATGGCCCTCCAGGCTCAGGAACCGATGCAGAAGAGGAGGCAGAGAGATTGTAAGAACCAGAGGTTGTGAAGAGCTTCAAGGAAATGGCAGTTTCTAGATACAACAGGCATATATGAATTTGCAGAGAATATGACAGCATGCACACAGCCTGCACAAGTTCAAGCTAGAGGAAATCCCAGAGTGGAGCTGGGAAAGTACACAATCCCCACCCCAACCAGGAAGTTATTCGTAATTGGTAGCTGCTGGAAGAGGAAAAATCAGTTTTCTTCGACAGCCCGACACTAGGCATATCAACCAAACTGCAGGGCAGACCTTAAGCTCAGGAGTAACTGGCCAACCTAAATCTAAGTCCACGTTTGTGTGTGTGTGTTCTTTTTGTTGTTCTTTTTTTGTTTAAGTTTTAGGTTTTTCTAAGGAGATAAAGAGCATGCTTGTTGGAGCCCGTTCCCCATGGTAGGATGTCATGCTTGGTCTTAATGCATGAGAGAGGGCGCTGGCCCTGCTCCAACCTATTGTGCTAGACTATGCTGACTCCTCTTGGGAGTCCTTATCTGTGAGAAGCCCACTGGGGGTGGGCTGGGGGGACATGAAGGGGGTGGGAAGAGGAGCAGGAGGGAGAACTGTGGTTGGAATGTAAAGTGAAATCAAAAATTTTAAAAAGAATATGAAGTTTGGCAGTTAGGGAAGGAGGTGGGATCTGAGGGTAAAGAATATGACCAAAATATATTGTATGAAATTCTAAAAAAAAAAAATTAATTTCGACAACAATGCTGGTGAGGACATGGACAATACAGAACCCTCGGCATACTGCTGGAATGCAAACTAGTCTCTAGCTCTACAGACATCAGTGTGGAGGTTTCTCAAAAACCTGGCAGTAGATATTCCATATGATCCAGCCATGTTACTCCTGGGTATTTGCCCAAAGGACACTAAATCGGCCCATCCTTGGGACACCTGCCCACATGTTTGCTGCAGTGCTATTCACAACGGCTAAGTTGTGGATCCATCCTGGGTGTCCAGCAACAGAGGGATGCATAAGACAAAATGTGACAGGTTTTGTTGAGGTTTTTTTTAGCCATAATAAGAATAAAACTACACTGTATGAGGGAAAATGGATGCAACTGAAGATAATATATTAAGTGAATTAAGCTAACCTTGGAAAGGTCAGTATCAAATGTTTTCTTTCAGTTTTTGGTTCCTAGATTTTATATAACCATATGAATGTAAATTAAATGAAAGCAGAAGTGAAATTGTGTAGGGGACAAATAGGGGACGGGAATACACTCAAGGTGCAGAGTATACCTGTATGAAATGTCACAAAAGAAAGATTGCACTGAGAGGGAATGCGAGCAAAGTGTATTCCTATGTCCTGTTTTCATTTGTGTTGCTGTGATTTAAAAGAAACTCCTAGTGAACAGCATTGGAGAGAGGAAAGGGCTTATTTGGCTTTCAATTGCAGGTTCCCATCCATCATTTCAGGGAAGTCAAGGCAGAAACTCATGCAGCTAATCACACGACACCCATAGCCAAGAGCAGAAAGGAATGAAAATGCCTATGCTGCCTGCTGGCTTGCTTAGTACTAGCTACTTCTGCTCTTACGTCATTGGCTCTCAATCTTCCTAATGCTGCCACCCTTTAGTGCACGCCTTATGTATTAAGAGAAGTCCTGTTAATTCTCCCTCCTTCTAAACTCCTTGGAAGGAGGTATCTGGACTTACACCGGCTGCCCTTTCCTGCAGCATGACCCTTGACCTTTTCCCCCAGTACTTTATCAAGTGACCCCATCCTGCCCCACCTTCCTCCTGTCTTGGAGGCATTGGAAGGAAGACCTACCTCTCCATACTGGGTACAGTAGGTCTCTGGCTTGGTCATTCCACAGGTCGATGAGGCTCGAAGAAGCTGAGTCCTTCCAATGAGCAAGTCCCCAACAGGTGGATAACAGGCCCCTCGGGAGCAGTCTTGTTGGGCATGCAGGAGGCCAGGCAAGGCTGAAATCACAGGGTAATGTTGATGTGGGCCCAAAGGATACAATCCCAGCTGGTTACCCCAGTAGTCCCTCTGTGGAGTTAAAATCAGCTAAACTAGGCCCTCTCATCACCAGTGCCAGTGTGATGACAACAGTCCTGATTTGGGGAGTTGAAGGGGCTGATCTCATATCATATAACCCAAGCTTGGAAAGGAGAGGAGGGCTGTGGATAGTAATACAGTCAATAGAGTGTTTGTCCTGCATGTATGAAGTCCTGGGTTCAGTCCCCAGCACCGCATAAACCAGGTGTGATGGTGCACACCTATAATCCCAGAATTCAGGAGCCAACAGGATCAAGAGTTCAGGGTTATCCTCAGAAACATAAGGAATTCAAACCAGACTGGGTTACATGAGACCATATACATATATGAAATTGTCAAACTACATTTTTAGTTAAAGAAAAGAAAGAGGAGGGGAAATTTCAGCCACCGATAACCAGCAGCGATCCTAACACATGGCCCATGCCACTTATGTGTGGCTTTAGAACCAATCTGGAGACAACACACGGGGCCATAGAGACACAGTGACAACTGTTGGTGCCTGTCTAGTGTCCTCAGTCCAGAGCCCAGAGGTGGCTGGTGGCTAAGCCATTGGTGGAATGATGACAAAGTACCTGTTACTTCTACTCTGTCTGCACAGGTGACCAACCTAGCCATTACCTCCCCAGAAAACAGAGAACTCAAGACACAGTGGCTCTGCAGCCAGCCTGAGAGTGGAGACGATGGGGAAATAGTGGCAGAAAAGACACTCAGGAAGTCACGTGTCACGACTGGGTGAGGACAAGAAGACAGGGAGAGCCTTCTGAGAGAGGCAGAGAAGCCCCTTCTCCCTGAAGCACAGTGAGGTGGGAGCCCTCACAGTTGTCCCATCAGCAAGGGCTCCAAACCCAGAGCCTAAGGTAACAGGTGGAGCTCACACCTTTGGCCAGCTCTCTTCTGTTGGTGGCCTGGAAGGGGGAAGGGATGCTTACCAAGCCACAGGAGTAAAAGTGCTGTCATTGTGGGCCAGTGCAGGTTCCCAGAGAGGACACCTAGAACAAAACAAAACATCCTGGATGGTCAAGTCCCCACCCTCCCCTTCCCTGCTTTGTGCTAGACTACTGTCCTCACCAAATCCTCATTTTGTATCTTCACAAAGATGCTTCTGAGCAGTGGGCACATTTGTAGCCAATGGCAAGGACCTGGGACTCCTGTCTCAATAGTGGTAATATACAGGGAGTCCTGGGGGAAATCCCAGGCTTTAACTTCCTCCTTTGAAATGGGTGGGAACGTGGGGACTGTGCGGATTGCTAAAGGGAGGTCCAACACTTTGTTTCTGCCTCAAGGGAGAGGTCTCGGCTCACTCAGGGCTTCAACCCAAGCCAACATATAAACCAAGGCACACAGGCCAAAGGTGCTGAGGGCCAAGGGGCAGGTCTTTTCCTGAATTGAGGGGGGTCTCCAGTATTACAGGGCCACAGTGAGGTTGAAGCTGTGGTGACCACAACTCTAGGCTAACCGGATTGCAGGAACACTATGGGTCTGTTCGTTTGTTTGTTTGTTTGTTTTTGTTTTCCAAGAAAGGGTCTCTCTGTATAGCTTCAGAGCCTGTCCTGGTACTCACTCTGTAGACCAGGCTGGCCTAGAACTCCCAGAGATCCACCTGCCTCTGTCTCCAGAGTGCTGGGGTTAAAGGCGTGTGCCACCACTGCCCGGCTAAGATGCGGCAACGTAAGAAGATAGGTGGGGTGCTGTAGGGAGAAGTGGGGTACTCTGGGGAGAGGCAGGCCTGACAGTTTTAAGAAAAGTGAGAGAAGCCAGGCAGTGGTGGCACATGCCTTTAATCCCAGCACTCCCCAGCACTCAGGAGGCAGTGGCAGGCAGATCTCTGGGAGTTCTAGGCCAGCCTGGTCTACACAACAAGTTCCAGGACAGCCAACAGCCAGCAATGTTACACATAGAAGCCCTGTCTTGAAAAAACAAAGAAAGAAAGAAGGAGAGAGAGAGAGAGAGAGAGAGAGAGAGAGAGAGAAAGAGAGGGGGGGTAAGAGAAGACTTTATCTGCACCAAAAGCAGCTCAAAATATCTCCAGTTATGGGCAAGGATGCTGAAGGCACTTGGAAACAGCACAGGGCACAGGCCTGTCTCAGTGGCATGCACCACCCTAGCTCCACCCGCAATAGCACACAAGGTCTGCCCAAAGAACTGAGGAAAGATGGGATTGTGGGCAGGCAGAGGGGAACCAAGCAGCCTTTCTGCCATCTTTACATCCCAATGCTGCCAAGTCCTTCCTATCAACTTCCTCCAGGGCAGCTAGGAGCCCAAGCTGGGGCATGTGGCCACAGGTCTCAGGGCCACTGACGGCCAAAGATAGAAAGCATCTCTGCCCTCCTGTCTCAGCTGAAAACCCACCAAGAGAGGGGCTGAGTTGAGCCTGGCTGTTCCTCCCACCTTGCCTTTGTGCTAAGCCTGGATTTTTAGCTGCTGTCTTCTAAGTTGCCAGGTGCTTATCAGACATGAAAAGCAATCCAAACAGCCACAGACATTTACCCAAGTGTACTCAGGTGTGCTCCCATGAAGCGTGCTGCATGGGCCCTGCACCCAGGCCTCAGAGCATGGAGGCACAGCCCTTCTCCGTTCTCCCCCCACCTCCCTGCCAGACAGGTAAGGCAGATAACCTACCTCACCCCAGGTCCTATGCTCCCCTGCCTTTCTCCAGATCCCTCTCGGAGAGCTCCCCGGGAATGTGTGGTCCCCTCTCTTGGCTCCAAGGTTTTAAACAACAGCCTCACCTCTGGAGACTCCCTGGCTGGGTGTAGCCTCGGTACAGGGCGGCCTCAGGAATCTGGTAGCCGCCACGCCCATCTGACGTCACTGCCCCCCCAACCTCAGGACAGGACTAGGCAAGTGGGTTGGTCTTGAAGACTGCCTGCCCTTGGGTGTTTGGAGGGTTGGAAGGTTCTAGAAACAGGCAGAAGCAAAGTCTTTAGAGATGGGGAGGGGGTTGCCCCTGAGGCAGGGGAAGGGCCCAGGTACTGGATCTGGCACCTTCCCAAGTCTGGTACGTGTCAGCTTCGTCTCAAGTCCCACCCTGGACAGACCAACCAGGCTGGGGACACACAGCAGACTGTGAGGACTGTGTCAGGGTTTGGGCATGTCACTGGGTTGGACAGTGTAAGACCGAAATATTCAGAACCCTGGAAAGCACCAGGCCCATCCCAAAGGAGAAATGTGGAAAATCCCAAATTCTTGGGGGAACTTGGGGGGGGGGTTGCTTAAAAGGCTCAGGAAGTGGTCAAGGCTCAATTCTCCCATGGAAGTTGAACAGAGCACCCTGCTTCCAAAGCCTCAAGCTCCGTTGACAGGGCTGGCAAAGAGCCCCGGGACAGGTAACTGCCTGTGAGTCACCATCCCAGCTGCTCCTGAGCCCCACCCTCCTGGGCAGGAATGCCAGCCTGCAGGGCCAGAAAACAGACCTGACCACAGGTGGGAGAGGCTAAAGCATACCTGGGCTGGTAAAAGCAATGCAGACTTCCCATGTTGGGTGCCAGGTCTGGGAACACACCCCTTTGTGGGGTCTCATTGGCTCCAGCCAACATAAGTGCCAAAACAGGACCAGGGGGAAAGGCTGGTTAAGGACACTTCGCCTTCCAGGTTGAGTCAGATGGCATCTCAGTATACCTGGAAGGTCACAGTCCCTGCCCTGGCCCTGAAGACACTGACATTGTTTTCGAACACTTTTTCCTTAAAGTCAAAATTTGAAGGAGACTTTATTTTTTGTTTTTAAGACCAACCCTAAGCTGGCCTCCAAGCCATTGGAAAGTCAATGATGACCTTGATTTTCTGATCCTCCTGCCTCCACCTCCCCAGTACAGGGGTTTTTATGCTCAAGCTCAAACTGCAGTTGTCAAGTGGACAAGCAGCATGCTGATGGTGTCTGGTTTAACTCTGCAAGTAGATTCAGTACATATAGCCCCCCTTTCATCAGTCCCTGGGGGGGTGCAGAGCGACCCCCATCAGTTTGGGCAGAGAAGGATCACGTCGGATAACATCTTGAGTTTCGAGAGCCCACTTCTACCACTAGGTCTGTTTCCACGCCTGTAGTCCAGACTTCCGGAAATTCCTCCTCACCAGAGGATGTGACAAAGAGCTCATTAATAATTAGCTCAGCCTGATGCAAAGATTAGGTGTGGGAGCCCCAATCCCAGAGGAGGGGAAGTGGGGTGGGCCTCACTGTGAGTGGACCCTTTAAATTACCCCCCCCTTTCTGAGCCCAGAAGCCCAGGTAAATAAGTTTTTGGTGTCTCAGCTTTGCAAGCTAGGGCAGGTCCTAGGTTTGGCTTCACAGGAGGCAAGCATCGGCTGCTCTGCAGAAGCCTCCCACTCAGGAATGTTCTAGAAGACATCTATGCAGCCCTCTAAGAGCTGCCCAACTCTTCAAGGACATCAATCATTGCAAAGTGCCCCCCAGAAGTCCAGGTTACCTGCACAGGCTTTAGAACATTGGAGCCCAAAGTATCCAAAGATTAATAGTGTAAAACAGGGCCCACAGCTCCTTACAAGGCAGCTGGGGCATGGCCTGAGCACCTCAGCTCCCCTCTGTGCCCGATTTACTCTGACCCACCAGTCAGCCCCCTCTTCAGAGCAACTGTCTGCCCCAGAGCCTTGGCTGTCAGAACTTTTGCTCAAGCTAGTGAGGTTATCCCGGGCTGGTTTGTTTTGTTTTGTTTGTGTCCACATCAGCAACTAACAATCCCAAATTCTCCTGGTTCAGTGTCCAAAGTAACCAGAACACCCCCTGGCCCCACTGCCCTCCTGGCTGAGCCAATCTTCCCCACACTAAACCAGTCTCCAGCCCGATCCACAGTCAAAGCCAAGCACAGGAGGTCTGCAATCTGAGCTGAGTCTTGCCAGGCTCTCTACCTCTCAAGGCCAAAGCCAAAGCACAGGCAGTCTGTGAGGCCCTCTGTGATTAGAGCTACCCTAATTGACTCTCCATTCCTGATCCCTCCCCTCCTTGTCCTCACATCAGTGGTACAGCGTCCTGGCTAGGCCTCCACACTGCCGGGTCTGCTTTTGACTTGCAACCTTTGCCCCAGATGCTCCATCAGTTTGGGTGGCTGTGCCTTGGACATCTGCAAAACCGTCTCTCATCATTTCAAGCCCCTTTTCAATCCCAGATCCTGACCAAGGCTTTCTCTGACCACCATATTTAAAATTCCAACAATCCTCCCTATCTGTCTGCTCCCAACCTCACCTGCCCTGTGCTGTTAGGAGGGTTTTTTAGCTATTCTTTTTAAAACATTTTTTTTTTTTACTTTGTCAACACCACCTTCTGATCAACTACCTAATTTCCTCAAGGCCTCCCTCATGTAGCCTAAGATGGCCCTGAACTTGATTTGTAGCTGAGGGTGACCTTTACCTTCTGATCATCCTGCTCTACCTCCTGTGTGCTGGGATGACAGACATGTAGGAACACTCCTGGTTTACATGGCACTGGGATCAAGTTCGGGTTTTCACGCATGTTAGGCAAGCATTCTGCCAACTAAGCTACAGCTTCAGCCCCCAAATTTCCTTATTGGTCGTATTTGTTTTGTGTCCACCACTAGGGCATCACATCTGAGGAGACACAAGTTCCTGTCCAGTTTGTTCATTTTTTTTCCCCAAGCGCCTGGAACCTTGCAGGAAGGAGCTTGATGCTGATAGAGCATATTCCTGTTGACATGAAAATAACTCATCCAATTTCCTGAGTCTCCAAGGTCTGTTTTTCATCACTGCACCCTCAGAGGCCACTGTTCCAGGCTCATGGTCACCAGAATGGGCCACTCACCATGAGTGTTCTGCATTGCATGTGACACTGGGGGCTCTCTTTTGAAACATCTACTCCAGATTGCCAAAATGACACTCTGTTGATAAGGGTGTCATCTCATTTGCATGCTCAAGAGGCCCCCGTTGGCAATGATTCTGATGAGTAGACACTGGAAGTTACTATTCCCATTATGCATCTATTGGGCACAAACCATGCAGGTAGCCAGGGAGAACCATCTAGGACCTGCTCCACGAGCAATCTCGAGGGAAGGAAGAAAAGGACGGAAAGATTAGAAGAGGTCTAAAGGGTATGATTGTGCATCTGAGCACCGGGTACCTGGTGACTAAGTCTGGGCACCCCTGGCATATGATGAGTCATGACTGAATCTTTGTCTGTGAGGCAGGATGGGCTCCAGCACTGGCTCTGAGACTTTACAGTGTGACAAAACCTGACGTGGCACTGCACACCAGTTATCCAGGGAGGGGAGGGAGGTTCTGGTAAGTGGCTGAAGCACAGATGAGAGGCAGTCTCAGGTAGGGGCCAATGGTAACAGGACTAGACTCTGAGGCTGTCTGTCACTGAGGGCTGCTCCACAGCCTTCCTCCTCCTGCAGCCTCATGCACCCGTGCTGTCTGTTTGCCTGGAGGAGAGCCATGCATGCACCTCAGAGCTAGGTCCTGAGGTGTTGGAGAAATCAGGATGTCAGTCTAAAATAACTCTAGTTAAACTTCCTATAGGCCTTGGGGCAGGGCTGGGGGCAGGGGCTTTATAAGCCCTTTCCATGCATTAACCCATTACACACCTACTGAAGCTCTTTGGAGATGGCTCAGTCAGAAAAGTGCTTGCTATGCAAAGATGGAGGCCTGGGGTGGATTCCAAGAACCCATGCTTAAAGTTAAAAAAAAAAAAGAGCAAGGTACAGTAGCACGCACTGGTAATCCCATCTCTGAAAAGATGGAGTGGTGAAACCTTGGGGCTTTGGCCAGGCCAGCTGAATCAGAGAGTTCCAGGTTCAGTGAAAGATCCTATCTCAAACACCAAGGATGTTTGATGGATGGATGATGGTGCACACCTTTAATCCCAGCACTCTAGAGGCAAAGGTAGGTGGATCTTTGTGAGTTTGAGGCCAGCCTGGTCTACAGAGTGAGTTCCAGGACAGCCAGAGCTACACAGGGAAATATATCTCAAAAAAAAAAAAACATCAACAACAACAAAGAGAGTGGCATCCAAGTTTGTCCTCTGTAACACACACACACACACACACACACACACACACACACACACACACACACCTCCTTTTCTGCCATGTTCCAACCTTGGAACACTCATGTTGGTTGTGGCCCCTGAGTGATGCTGCTGTGGACACATCAAAACAGACACCATCAGGTTTCCTGCCTGTTAGCTTCTCACCAGTACCATCCTCAGAAGCTCTTCCGGGAGGACCAGCACATACCTGCCTTGTGGTCCCCTGCACCAGCTGGGACTTACGAGGTCAGGAGCATGCAAAGAAGGAAATGAAGACAAACCAGGTGACTAGGCAGGCATCAAGCTGACAAGGCCCACCTGGGCATGCAGACAGGCTACCCACCCCCACCCCAAAGGGCAGAGGATGGGGATGGTTGCCTTGATATCAGGCTCCTGGGCCAGTCTTGAGCCTTGTTACAGGTCTGTGGCTGTGTGTGGGTGTGTGTGTGTGTGTGTGTGTGTGTGTGTGTGTGTGTGTGTGTGTGTGTGTGTGTGTGTGTGTGTGTGTGTAAGTATTCCCCAAATGGCTCACTACTGTGATAGGTTCAGTCCAAGGCAACACATGCTGGTCCCTAGCTAGCTGTATGCTCCTGTCATGTCCATCCGCTCCAATATCCCCAATGTCCTGCAGCTGATAGCTGACCCCCATTGTCACACCCCCAGTTGACCTCTGGCAATTAGGTCCTTGGGAATTAAGTCCTTCTCCGTGAACTCTGGTCATGGACTCGGCACATAGAGCTGGATGTGTCTGTCCTTGGCC